TTTCGGAGCTGTCGAGAACCGAGTCGGCATGAAGAACTAACCGGTTCTGGGGAGAGGCCCCAAGGTCTGGGACCCCCTCAGGACCCCTTTGCCTCCTGGCGGGACGGAGGAGGGAAGCCGGGGCCCTTGGGGCGGGCTCGTCACGCCCTGCCGGCGCAAGCCCAGACTCTGGACGCCGTGACCTTCTCACCGCGACGCGGACCCCACACGAGCGACGAAAAAAGACGGGTATGACGCGAGATGACTGACTACCTACCAGACCACCCCAACCCAACCCGAAGACCCGAATTTCGGGTTGGGGGGGGTAAGGGTTCCACGCGTGTTTTTTCGCCGATTCCCGACCCCCCCCCACTAGAAATCGAGGGTAAATCTGAGCCTTCGGGTTGGGTTGGGGTGGTTTGGTGGGTGGTGAATGACACAGCGGACTTCCGCGGCGGCGTACGCGGGCCGCCAGCGCGGCACGCCTCCCTTGGGAACAAGGGCGCTTGTTCGCGACCGTGCGCGCGCAGCTTACGCACGAGCGTCGGCGCAGGCGAGCCCGTTGTCCTTCCTCGCCCACGTGCCAGCACTTCATCCTCCTCCTACTCCTCCTCCTCCTCCTCCTCCTCCTCCTCCTCCTCCTCCTCCTCCTCCTCCTCCTCCTCCTCCTCCTCCTCCTCCTCCTCCACGGGTCGTCTTGTGGTGGCGGCCGCAAAACGGTATTTAGTAGGGGGGCACGGGTCCTGAGGGAAACGGGTCCTGGACCCCAGGGCCTTCCGCCAGGACGAGCTTTTCCTCCTGAGCCGTTTTCTGACACTCCCGGGGCCCGTGGAGGACCCCGAGAGCCCGAAAGCAATGGAAAACCTCAGGACTCGTGTCCCTCAGGACCCGCTTCCCCCAGGGCGAGGTATACCTCAGAAATGCCCCGCCGCCAGGAGTGCCTGCCCCAAGGCGGCTGGAAAGTTTTTACCCCTCTGAGCGCACACCGCTGTTCCCCTGCTCCACATTATTGGAGCTAGCACTACAATCTACGATACATGAAGGCCCGTTCCGCAAGACCTCTCTCTCCTCGCTCCAGCTGTTTTGACAGAGAACAAAAAAAAACACATGTTTTTATCCGCAGGTCGAGAGCGCACCTCTTCCTGTCGAAGCTAAGCGGGCCGCGCGAAGCTTGAACTAGGCAAAGAGGCGGAGGGAGGAAGCGGCGGAGCCTCAGAGCGAGGCCGAGAGGAGGCATAGCCTCGGATACAGGCGGTGCCGAAAAGTGCTTGCAAAGGGACGCCTTCGGCAGGAGCCCGGTGGCGAAGTACCGGAGAAGAGCAAAATGCTACCGTCGGAACAAATTATCCCAGCAAAGCAACCTAACAGCGATGTGTAGGAGCATATCTGGAAGCATTCCCCTCAAGATTCAGATGAGAATCCAGTTGTAGAATTCTGCTGTTCTCGCAGTCGTAGTCGCATTCGCGATGACAGTCGCAGTGGCAACGGCAGTCGCAGTCACAGCCTCAGCCTCAGCCTGCCTCAGCCTCAGCCTCAGCCTGCCTCAGCCTCAGCCTGCCTCAGCCTCAGCCTCAGCCTGCTTCAGCCTCAGCCTCAGTCTGCCTTCAGCCTCGGCCTCAGCCTCAGCCTGCCTCAGCCTCAGCCTGCATCAGCCTCAGCCTCAGCCTCAGCCTGCCTCAGCATCAGCCTGCCTCAGCCTCAGCCTCAGCCTGCCTCAGCCTCAGCCTCAGCCTGCTTCAGCCTCAGCCTCAGTCTGCCTTCAGCCTCGGCCTCAGCCTCAGCCTGCCTCAGCCTCAGCCTGCATCAGCCTCAGCCTCAGCCTCAGCCTGCCTCAGCATCAGCCTGCCTCAGCCTCAGCCTCAGCCTGCCTCAGCCTCAGCCTCAGCCTGCTTCAGCCTCAGCCTCAGTCTGCCTCAGCCTCGGCCTCAGCCTCAGCCTGCCTCAGCCTCAGCCTGCATCAGCCTCAGCCTCAGCCTCAGCCTGCCTCAGCCTCAGCCTGCCTCAGCCTCAGCCTCAGCCTGCCTCAGCCTCAGCCTCAGCCTCAGCCTGCTTCAGCCTCAGCCTCAGTCTGCCTTCAGCCTCGGCCTCAGCCTCAGCCTGCCTCAGCCTCAGCCTGCATCAGCCTCAGCCTCAGCCTCAGCCTGCCTCAGCATCAGCCTGCCTCAGCCTCAGCCTCAGCCTGCCTCAGCCTCAGCCTCAGCCTGCTTCAGCCTCAGCCTCAGTCTGCCTTCAGCCTCGGCCTCAGCCTCAGCCTGCCTCAGCCTCAGCCTGCATCAGCCTCAGCCTCAGCCTCAGCCTGCCTCAGCATCAGCCTGCCTCAGCCTCAGCCTCAGCCTGCCTCAGCCTCAGCCTCAGCCTGCTTCAGCCTCAGCCTCAGTCTGCCTTCAGCCTCGGCCCTCAGCCTCAGCCTGCCTCAGCCTCAGCCTGCATCAGCCTCAGCCTCAGCCTCAGCCTGCCTCAGCATCAGCCTGCCTCAGCCTCAGCCTCAGCCTGCCTCAGCCTCAGCCTCAGCCTGCTTCAGCCTCAGCCTCAGTCTGCCTTCAGCCTCGGCCTCAGCCTCAGCCTGCCTCAGCCTCAGCCTGCATCAGCCTCAGCCTCAGCCTCAGCCTGCCTCAGCATCAGCCTGCCTCAGCCTCAGCCTCAGCCTGCCTCAGCCTCAGCCTCAGCCTGCTTCAGCCTCAGCCTCAGTCTGCCTTCAGCCTCGGCCTCAGCCTCAGCCTGCCTCAGCCTCAGCCTGCATCAGCCTCAGCCTCAGCCTCAGCCTGCCTCAGCATCAGCCTGCCTCAGCCTCAGCCTCAGCCTGCCTCAGCCTCAGCCTCAGCCTGCTTCAGCCTCAGCCTCAGTCTGCCTTCAGCCTCGGCTTCAGCCTCAGCCTGCCTCAGCCTCAGCCTGCCTCAGCCTCAGCATCAGCCTGCCTCAGCATTCAATCATGCCCAAGAACGGAGTTCTGGGAACTCGAAGACCACGAAGTGGCCTACAGTTGGCTCCGGGCATTCAAAATCATGCCCAAGAACGGAGTTCTGGGAACTCGAAGACCACGAAGTGGCCTACAGTTGGCTCCGGGCATTCAAAATCATGCCCAAGAACGGAGTTCTGGGAACTCGAAGACCACGAAGTGCGTTACTGTTTGCTAAAAAAGGAGTCTCCCGGCATCCTCCCCCGGATCGCGCCCAGACCCCCCTGGGGCGTCATGATGCCCTGTTTTGACCCTACTAGAAACCTATCAGTCTTCGCTGTTAGGTAAAAAGCCACACGCTGGGGTATAGAATTCCCTGCTAACCTGGGGAAGGCGCCCCAGGATGACGCTCGGCCGTTCATTGCTGACGGCCCCGGGGGCCCGGGCAGGGCCTCTGGGCACTGGCAGCGGCCAAAAGCATGGCGACTTGATGTTTGTCGACAAGCGAGGGGGTCTGGGGTCCTCGATCCTCGATCCTCGAACCCCCTCCTCTGTCAGTTTCCTCTTCTCCCCCCCTCCTCCGCCTCCTCCTCCTCCTCCTCCTCCTCCTCCTCCTCCTCCTCATCATCATCATCATCATCATCATCATCATCATCATCATCATCATCATCATCATCATCATCATCATCACATCATCATCATCATCATCATCATCATCATCATCATCATCATCATCATCGCCTCCTGCTCCTCCTCCTCCTCTCATCATCATCAGCATCATCATCAGCATCATCATCATCATCATCATCATCATCATCATCATCATCATCATCATCATCATCATCATCATCATCATCATCATCATCATCATCATCATCATCCGCCTCCTCCTCCTCCTCCTGCTCCCTCTCCTCCTCCTCCTCCTCCTCCTCTTCCTCCTCCTCCTCCTCCTCCTCCATTCCGTATCCTTATGAAAAACTCCTCCTGGTCGCACCCCGAGACCGGTCGAAAGGGTGGGCTGGGCGTTTCGCCTGAGACTCCCTCACCATTTATGATCCTGAAGCTTGAAATTTGCAAGAGCTTCACGGATGGAGGGCGGCCACTTTTCAAAGTGTGGCTCTTGCCGTAGCGCCGTGCACATTCGTTTCAACAAAAGCAAGAACTTTACAAATGGATGGCGTCCGTTTGCAAAATGTGGCTCTTGCCTTAGCGCCGCGTACATTCGTTGTAAAAGTTCGCAAGAGCTTCAGCTTCACGGATTAAGGGCGGTTCCTCTTCAAAATGTGGCTCTCGCCTTAGCTCCGCGCACATTCGTCGTAAGAGCTCGCAACAGTTTCAAGGATTATCACGGCTGGTCCAGGAATTGTGTTTTGGCTGTCAGGGCGCAAAAGTGATGTTGATTCGCGGTGCTGAAGTCCAACGAATGTTATTCTGGCACGATTCAGAATCGTCAAGACGCAGCAGTAACTGTGATTGGCGGCGTTGAAGTCGCAGGGACGGTGTTATGGCACAAATCCAGATGTTCAAACGGTTGTCTTCCAACGGGGCATTTACCTCAGTGAAGATGAACCCGTGTACGAGCACATAAAAGAGAACTTAGGGGAAGGGTTTATTGCAATATCGTTGATGAGTCTTCGGTCTGCACTGGTTTTCCTCCTCCTCCTCCTCCTCCTCCTCCCTTTCGTCCTCCTCCTCCTCCTCTTCCTCTTCCGTCTTCTCCTCATGACGCTGACGCTGGTGGCACGTTGATGGCGCCTCCTCCTTTTCCTCCTGCTCCTCTTCCTCCTCCTCCTCCTCCTACTCCTCCTCATCCTCCTCATCATCATCATCAGCATCATTATCCTCATCATCATCATCTCATCATCATCACCATCAGCAGCATCATCATCAGCATGATCATCATCAACAGCATCATCAGCATCGTCATCATCATCATCATCATCACCATCAGCAGCCTCCTCATCAGCATGATCATCAGCAGTAGCATCATCATCACCATCATCATCATTATCGATCATCGAGCCTCGATCCTTGAGCCTCGACCCTCGAGCCTCGATCCTCGAACCCAAAGCCTCCTAAGGCAAGGCGACCCCCCTCGAGGCATGGTGGGGGGTGGACGCGGCGGGCGGCACGCGACGCTGCCCGGGCTGGCCAGCCGGCTCAGGCACCGGCTGCCCGCGCGGGGGCGCCCGGCATCGACGGGGCGCCTGGCGGCCCGGCCGCCCCCCGCCGCCGCCACCGCTACCGCCGCCGCCACGTGAGCGACAAAACTACGGTCAGGAACTCTTGGATAGCGTGCCGCGGCGGCGCGCTCCTCGGCGCGCACTCGAACTCCTGCATGGCCTGAGTATGGCCCCCCTCCCCCAGAGCCAGGGGTGGTAGAGGGGGCAGAGGAAGCAGAGGAGGTAGAGGAGGCAGAGGAGGCAGAGGAGGCAGAACCAGAGCCTCAGGAGGCCAAAGAGGCAGAGCTCGGCCCCTTTGACCTCCCCGCGCCCCGGCGCGCCTCCTCCTCCGCACCTCATGTGCCCCACAGCGCGCCCCGCCGCCGGTCGACCGCCGCCGCCTGCCTCCTGCGGCCACCGACCAAAAAAAAAAGTCGCGGCGGCGGCCCCTGCGGCACGCGGCGCCCTGCAGGCGGATAATCAGCGGGTCGCTCCGCCCCGCGGGACGCGAGGCTCGGAAAAGAAGCTCGGGACGTGGACGCCGTGGGACCGGGATCTGGAGAACGCGTCGCGCCGAAACGTGGTGGGCCCGAACTGACGGAGCGCCACGCTGACCAAAAAAGCTGGCCTTACGCAGGACGGCACAGCCTCATAGCGCACGCCGCGGCCTGCGCGGGCCGCCAGCGCGGCACGCCACACTGGAAAGCGCCGAAGCGCGCCCGTTCCTGGGCCTCGCTCCCGGCTCAGCTCCCCGCCGCAGTCGGCGCGTCGAGGTCTGTCACATGAAGAACGGTATGGCCGTCGAGAGGTCTACGACAGGAGGAGACGTCGGCCCAGCGAAGCGCCTGCGACAGAAGGGGGGGCTGGGGCGTCGAAGTGTCTACCGCATCGAGACGTGCGTTGCCGTCGAAGTGCCTGCGTCGTCTTCGAGAGGGCCCGAACTGCCGGAGCGACACGCGGGCCAAAAGTGCCCGACTGCAAACGGGCCTTTACGCAGGACGGCACCGCCTCATAGCGAGCTCCGCGGCCTGCGCGGGCCGCCGGCGCGGCACGCCAGTGGAAAAGCGAGGGCGCCGACGCCCGATCTTGCGCTGGCAGCCCTACACGCGAACGTCGCGGCGCAGGCGACCCCATTTTCTCTTCTGTCGCCCTGCTGCCACCGCGTGTACGCAGGGGGCGCCCAGGGGGGCCCACGAGAGGCCCCCAGAATCGGCGGCGGGCCCAGGGAGGGAGGCAGAGAGGGAGGGCGATCTCAGAAGGCTCCGCAGGCCTTTGTCCCTCTGAGACGCTGTGCACTCTGGATCTCAAATTAGCAGGGTGGCGGTCTGACTTGGGGGGGGGTCTGGTTCGAGCTGTCTTGGAGGGTTCCAGTGGGGTCTGGGCAAAAGACCGCCCTTTCATGGCCGGTCTGGGGGGGGTCTAAAACTGCCCGTCTGGGAGGGTTGTGACTCCCTCCCTTTTACTACGAAATTTGACGCGCTCCGGACGTGCAACCTTCGGGGTGAGAGGAGTCTGGTCTCACATTCGGCGGCGAGGCCGAGGGCTTCTGAGAAGTCCCGCCGCCTTCTACGAAGGCCCTCTCCTTCTCACTGCACCCCCTCGCTCGCCGCCGAACCATGACAGGGGGGTTCGTAAGCAGAATGCCCCCAAGGGGTCGGCCGTGCGGCGTGTGCCGGTGAATCGTTTGTGCGCACGAGGCATCCACACACCACAATTGTGCCAGGCCAGGGCCATCCTGCGCCCTGGCGTTCTGCATACACCCTCCTGGATGAGGCCAGGAGGGTCTATACACCACCCTGAGGCCCAGGATGGCCCAGGCCAGGCACGGTGGTGGTGTGTAGATGCCTGCCGGGACATTTGGCCCCAACGCGCTTAATAAGCGAGGCAACTCCGGGGGTTGACAGGGCCTCTGGGGGCCGGCCGGCTTCGCAATGCCAGGCACACTCAGCTTTTGGTGGCATACTCAACGATATTATCAGATCATATCATCTGCAGCCCGTCGCCGTTGTCGTCGCCGCCATCCCTGTCCTTCAAGCCTTGAGAATGCGGGCAGGTTCATCCGCGGAGCGAATCCCTCGGACCCCCGCCCCTGGCCAGTGGCAGGGGAGCTGCAGAAAAACAACTCTGAGGTAAGCACCAGGCGGGCAAGAGAAGATGGAAACAACAGCAAGGCGGAGACGACGGCGGAACTGCCAGGAGTTCCTCGTCTTCCTGATTCCCCTCCCTCATCCTCCTCCTCCTCCTCCTCCTCATCATCATCATCATCATCATCATCATCATCATCATCATCATCATCATCAGCAGCAGCAGCAGCATCATCATCATCCTGCTCCTCCTCCTCCTCCTCCTCCTTCTCGTCATCCTCCCTCTCCCACTCCATATCCCCCTCCTCCTCCTCCTCCTCCTCCACCGCCTCCTTACCCTCCTCCTCCTCCTCCTCCTCCTGCTCCTCCTCCCCCTCCTCCCTCCTCCTCCTCCTCCTCCTCCCTCCTCCTCCTCCTCCTCCTCCTCCTCCTCCTCCTCCGCCGCCTAATAGCCCCGCCGCCCGTCGTCGCTTTCGCCATCGAGAGCCCCGTTTGGAAAAGGAACCGCTTTCCAATTGCTGCAGACTGCTGAGTCGACTGTGCGTGGCGCTACTGCGAGAGCGCCATCTTGAAAACGCAAATGTCATCCGCATAACTGCTGCAACGAGAGAGCTTCATGATCACACATGGAAAAGGCGAAACGCTTGGCCCGCCCTGACGGCACGTATGGGGGTGCGGCAGGAAGGAACCAGATGCAGATGTATACAATGACACCGTAGACAAAACCCAATCAGATGTTTGTTGGGGCTGTGGGGCTGTAGGGCTATGAAGCTATAAGGTTATGAGGCTATAGGGCTATTGGGCTATTGGGCTATTGGGCTATAAGGCTATAGGGCTATGAGGCTGTAGAGCTATAGGGCTATAGGGCTATAGGGCTATTGGGCTATTGGGCTATCGGGCTATAGGGCTATAGGGCTATGGGGCTATAAAACTATAGGGCTATGGGGCTATAGGGCTATTGAGCTAATGGGCTATATGCGATTGGGCTATTGGGCACCCCGGGCACCCGGGCACCCGGGCACCCGGGCCCGGCCACCGAAATCGGCGACCAACCTCACCGGCCACCCGGGCACCCGGACACCGCCGGGCACCCGGGCACCCGGGCACCCGGGCCCGGCCACCGAAATCGGCCGCACCTCTCACCTAAACCTTTAATCCGCTAGGACCCCTACAGAGGCAAGCTCTGATTGGGGAACAGAGTGAGGGAGCTGAACCGAACGGTCATTCACTGTCCTTGGGTGTGTGTGGCTGAAAAGGAATTCCGCGATGCGGATTCTTGCTGTTTGTTGTTTTTTGTTGTCGTCGTCCCACCCGCGACCCGCCTTGCGACCCACCCACGACCCACCCCGCGACCCACCCGCGACCCACCCCGCGACCCACCCCGCGACCCACCCGCGACCCACCCCGCGACCCACCCGCGACCCACCCCCACCCGCGACCCCACCTGCGACCCGCCCGCGACCCACCCCGAGACCCCCCCGGCGACCCACCCGCGACCCACCCGCGACCCACCCGCGACCCATCCCGCGACCCACCCGCGACCCACCCGCGACCCACCCGCGACCCACCGCGACCCACCCGCGACCCACCCACCCCGCGACCCACCCAAAATTTTCGGCGCCTGCGGCGGGTTTTTTTTGCATTCGTTCCACTGGAGAACCTGCGACCCATCCGTGACCCAAACCGCGCTGTGTGTACAAATCAAAATTGTCGGCACCTGCGGCGGGCTGTTTTTGAATTCCTTCCAGGTGGAGGTGGAGAGCCCGCGACCCACCCGCGACCCAAACTACGTTCACTGAACAAGCCAAAACTTCGGCGCCTGCGGCGGGATTCTTTTGCATCGGCGACCCACCCGCGACCCACCAGCGACCCACCCCGAGACCCACCCGCGACCCACCCCGCGACCCACCCGCGACCCACCCGCGACCCACCCGCGACCCACCGCGACCCACCCGCGACCCACCCGCGACCCACCCCGCGACCCACCCAAAATTTTCGGCGCCTGCGGCGGGTTTTTGTTTGCATTCGTTCCAGGTAGAGAACCTGCGACCCACCGCGACCCAAACCGCGTTCAGTGTACAAATCAAAATGTTCGGCGCCTGCGGCGGGCTGTTTCGACGCCCGCGTCGCCCGCGCCCGCCCCCTCACTCTTATCCGCATTTGTTGGGTGCTACGTATACCTATACAAATGCATAGAAATTTGCATAAATCCATACCCATATACACACACACGTACACCTAAGCATATGCATAAAAAAACCGCATACACGTACACCTATAAAATTAGCCTGGCTAAGGACCCAACCATACGCAGTTGTGAACACCGCAATTGTGAGTATGTTCTTCGGTGGTGCCCACGAACCGCATGAGGGGCGTGCCGAAATGTGGTGGGGTACACAAAACGAAGGAAAACGATCGATCCAAATACGAGAGACTGAACGAGGGTTAATCTGAGCGCGAATGAATCGAAGTGTGAATGGGTCTGCGCGCGAGCAAATATATGCACACGAATGCGATCATGGCTACGCCTCGTGCAATTGTGCATGAATGCGAACGGTTCGGGTACGCATGTCTGCACACTCGTGACACTGAGCGTGGCCGCCGCAGAAAGCTTCTGCGGGAACCCCGGCGGCGCGCCCGCACGCTGCGACGCCCATGTCGGCACGCCCCTCACGAGGATCGCGCCCGCTTCCTTCCCTTCTTCCCCCCCCTCTTTGCCCGCGCACTCCAAAGTCCACAGCTGCGGGCGCAGCGCGGCGCGGAGTCCCCGCGACGCAGTTCCCGCGACGCGCGCCGGTCGTCCCGGGAGGGCCCCAGCGACGCGCGCGGGTCGTCCGCGGCGCGAGGCCAAACAATTAGTTCGGCATTCGAGATAAGGCGCGGCTCGGGGGGGGCCGCCCCTCAGGTCACGCCTCGCGGATAAACTCGGTGAAGCCGAGCTCCCTGGCGAGGCCCGTCGCC